CTTATGGGGTCAGGGTTATATAACCGGCTTCACATCTGACAGTCAAGATCACTAATGGAGGAAAGTGTGGTAGATCTGAGGTAGCAGACTGACATTTCACCTTGTTTTCGTGCCCTGAGGTTGATCTTGAGGTGTCTGCCTGTCTGATTTTTAAAGACGGTGATTCAGAGGAACAAGTGTTGATTCTGCAGAGTTATGTGCAAAAGGGTTCTTTACACAACAAGGATTTAAAAATGTTCTCTTTTTGTACGTCTTTGCTTCTTTGAGTTACATATTTTAGAATGTAACATAAAGGTTATATTTTCATGTAATTTATCAAATTTGTTTCAACGTCGCAAGCAAATAGTAGCATTTAGCATGCTAAACTGCATGCTACCATTATTGTTGTTAGCATGTTAGCATGCTGATGTTAGCTTTTAGCTTACAGAGCTGAAAAAAAAATTACTTCCTAGCTCCCAATTTTTAAAATATATTTTAATCATATTTTTGGTATATATTTTTCTACATGTTTTTGTACATGTAAAAACAAGAAAAAGTCAAGCATTTTTTAAAACTTCCATTATTAGGACTGAATGTGTGACAAAGTGGGAGAGAAATCATCCATTTGTTCCCATTTACAAATCTCAAACCATGCATGTTTATGTAGTCAAAATCTGTAGCATTACAAGCACTTACTCTGGGTTTGTTTGTATTTAGCATTATGTTTTCTTCCAGTTACCATCGGCATTGCTTTAGAAAAAAAAAAGGAACCTAATTTTGTTTAACTAGCCCTATTTCTAGCAGCCCTTCAACAGTCAGGTAATATAGTATAACATTACATTAGCACAAGTTAACTGCATTTCATTTACTTCCAGAGTGTCTGATTCTTTTAATCTAAGGAAATTCACTTTATCACTGCAAGCGTGATAGTGCATGGAGCATTGATACAAAAATCACCTGATCTGTAGCTTGTTGTTGATTGGGTTTACAAGTATATTCCATCCTCATCATTATTATTATTATTTTTCTCCCTTATTGCTCAGGGAAATGCTGATTAATATGACTTATTTTTTCTCTCCGTAACAGTCCTCAATCTCTTTGATTCTCTCTTTCTCCTGCACTCGTGTTCATGTTGCTGAGTAATCCTTCAAAAAGCCCATATGAAAACTTCACTGGTTGACTAGACATAATCCTCAGTGAACTCTAAGTACCTGAATATGTTTGATTGTAAGAGAGGGAAAGCCGATGAAAAAAACTAGTCTCCTGCCAGACATTTGGATTCAAACTATAACATTATCCAGCAGCTCCCTTTTGCAAATCTCTGGCCAGTGTGGTTTAAATAATGAACCTGTAGAAATCATATATGATGTCAAATCATTATTAGATACTGTGTTTGTTTGTTGAAAAAGTGTTTTGTATTAAAGCAAAGTATTACTTTCCACTAATGCATAAGGTATTCATAGTGCTTGTCACAAACTTTGCAGTTTGTTAAATCACTGTACAGTTAAGTCAGGGTGAAAAATGAATGAACAATTTACCACTTTTATTTTGACAACACAGAAACATATAGTATTGTATTAATCTTAGTGTGAAAAACAATGATCTACAGTTGCACACTCAAATGTGATTCCTGGAGAAATTGAAGCCATAAATCACAAGGTAGAAAAAAGAGGAGGGCTACTTATTATTTTACTTTGATGTTAAAATCCCCCTCCACTTAAAAATGTGTTTTTCTTCTTGTTCCTGTGGTTGGATGTTTGAGCTTCACTGTGCAGAATAATGTACATATGTGTATGTGCCTTCTCTGTTCTCATTGAAAACCAGATTTTAACGGGGCGGGGCCTATGAGCATGATTTGTTTGGAAGTTATCCTGGTCAAGTATGCAACTTATACAATTGTGATGCAGAAACTTGAAGCCACCAGTGCACATACTGTACACTGAGAACAGAATTTCCAGGGAAGTAGCAGTACATTATTGTTCCAGGCAGACTATTTGTATGTATGTATTAATACATGAATGTGGGGGTCTCTTTAAGTTTTATTTTTCTAATTATTTATTGCATGATGTTCTTTGAAACTCTACAAAACCATTTGATTGGCAGTTAATCATGTTGGCATGCAGCGGTTTAGGAGGTGGGGTCAGAGACACTCTTCTCACCAGATGACGGCTCCATATGTCCATCAGTGTCTGGGGACATTGATGTTCACATCATGAAGGTCCTGGTGGAAGATTTGTATCTGTTGTTATGAAAATAATCTTCTCAGGACTGATGCGTGGGGCAAATTTAATCCTTATTTCGAGTGAGTTTCACGAAATCGTAAAAGTCTAATCCATGGTGTATTCCTGCAGATGACTGAATTAGCTGGAATAAACGAGAATGATCCTGATGACAACACAGGCCGCCCGCTGCACATGTGTTATTACAGCATAATTATGCAACGACCCGCTCCACTGACAGTCTGTCGTCAATTAATCTGCTTAGAAACACCAACTGGGGGCTTCTTGTAACCTCTGGGTGTTATCTTCATCATGCTGGTTGAACGTCTACTTCGCTTTAATGTCACAGACACACATGAAGTGGTGGAAAAACTATCCCATTCTCTGTTAAAAGTAAAAGTCATGCATTCAAAATTTTACTATTTTACTATTTTACTACATACTGTCAAAAACATACATTACATCCATTAATGTACACATCTCTTTAATGTTGTCACTGGTAAAGGTGGAGCCAATTTTAGGTACTTTGTACTGCTGGGTAGCTTAATCTGTAATAGATTATACTATTAGTTAGTTGATTAGTTGATTATATTTTGTATTCGGAATTTGAATCTACAAAATAACTAGTAACTAATGCTGTCAAACAAATGTAGTGAAGCAAATAGTACAATATTTCCCTTGTAGTGTAATGGAGAAGAAGTATAATTATAGTAGCATAAAATCGAATTAATAAGTAAAGTACAATACTTATAAGTATTAAATGTAGCTACTTTCCACCACTACACACATCATGCTATTTGAACTGTCACTGTAGATATTTTGAAACAACAACTTTGTTAGTAATGATTGTTCACATGCATTGTATTGATCCTGCAGTGGTCGATAAATAACACAAGACAAAGAGTCTAAGAGTGTAATCCTTTATTGACTATCCAGGAATTTATCAAATTATTTGCAAATTATTATTTTAGATGAATCACTCTGTGGAAGATCACTTCCTGTAAATTATTAACAGCAAATAGACTGGCAAAATATCAAATTCAATCAATATTTTCTTTCAAAATAATGACCAGCAGAATGAAGTTTACAGGATTTCTTGGAGACCAATAACAATACAAACTCAAAATGTACACTATAGGATAATTGTCATCTGGACTTCTAACATCTGGAGTTCAAGATCTAATCTTTAACTAATCTTTAAGGATTTCAAATAACTTCACATTTAAGATAAATATTCATTCAAGTGAGAGAGTTAGGGTGTAAATAGGCCTGTTTGTGCTGTTGAGGGTTTGCATTATGATGCCATGAATCACATGCATGCAACATTGTATAGAAGTTGGATCTGTTGAAGTATGCCATGAAGTGTCCACCTTCCTTTTCAGATCAATGGCTAATGTAAGGATGTTCCTTATTATCCTAAATCATATGCTACACTCAAACACTACCATGAGAGAGTGGACTATTTGGTTTTTGAAACCTACTGTAAGAAGAATATTGATTATATGATAACCAGTGAGTTATTGTGTATTGTCTAGCACTGTGGTTAGACGATACATTTCAAACAAATGTTTCTAAAGTTTGTGAGGAAACAAAACATCAAAAAATCATTATCACTTTTATTCTTATTATTCTTTCTATTCTTATTATTATGATATGCACAAGTTAAATAGGTAAATTAAATAGTGTCTAAGTCATAGAAGGGATTTCAAAAAACATTAAGGAGCAGCCATAGATAAACCAGGAATACCATTTAAATGCCGATACCAACTCCTCTTATTTGGATGTAACTGTCGCACAGACTTCTGTCTTTAGTTCATATGCAAATCTGGAAGCGAGAAGCAAGTCTAGTTAATCTACAGCCACTGACTAATCTCTAACTTGTCGTGGGGGCTGTGTATTGAAGAATGGTCCTCTTGTTTAGAGGATTAGTGCAGATGTACTCTGGATACAGAGATCACTCACAACCCTGCAGAGCATGGCGAGAAATCAGTGGCATGCACACACTTTTGCATTTCATTGACATGCACAATAAACAGGGATAAACGCCTAATCTGACTGTCCCAGAAAGGTCACAAATGTCATAAATCTGTGACATGAATCCTCTGTTATGACTTTTAGTTTTTAGTTGATATATTTTAGGGTCTTCCTCTTCGACTAGACTTGAGAGGACGAAGACATGCTAAAGGATGATTGACAGAGCTCAGATGGGTTCCTTTTGGCGACAGAGGCGTTGGGCAGTGGACAAGTTATTTATATCACGCCTCAGCTAAAAGAAAGGATATTTGAGGTAAACAGCTTATGTTCTTTAAAAGATTAAATGTCAATATTTGCTAAAATGTATATAATTTGTTTTGAATCGCCTTACATTATTTTATTTGTAGGACTGTTTATATTTTAAGTCAACCTTGAAACTAATAGAATATTTGGGCATCATAAATGATGTCTGTTTACAGAAAGCCTTCACTTAAAGTGAACTCAAAATTAAAGCCATCCCTTGGTAATGAAAGAAATTACATTACATTTAACATTGGCCCTGGAAAACCAGAGAAATCATGTGCTTGTTACAGAAGTAGCCAAGTCCAATGTTTTGTTGCATTTACAACATGGTACAATGAGTTAGTTTTGTTTTTGTTTTTGTTTTTTACAATATCCCAATTACTTTGTTTGGTCGACAAAATCCTTATACAGCTGCAGAAACAAAGGACAGCAAATCCAGGACAGACGATTATAAGAGACAATGGCTACCACTGCTCTCAAGACGCAACACATTCACGTGCACTCACAGACAAAAACATCTAGGTACCTGTGAGAAACCACCAGGACAGTAAGCGTCTGTAATTATTGCATGCTTAGTTTATTTGGACTTGTTCTCAATTTGAGGCACATCAATCTTTTCCCCGGTGAGGAACTGCCAGATGCCTCCTCTGTAGTTCTCATTTCCCAAAGCGTACAGAAAAACATTGATGGTGGGAGTGGTCTTAGCCAGAATAGGAGCCATCTGCAGAGACAAGTGCAAGCACAACAAGGTTATTAGGGCTTATAAAACAGAATGTTTCAGATTCTGAAAATGCACTAAAATACAGCTATCGAGTTTGTTCAGCTAATTAATTAAAGCCACTGTGTGTAGAAATTTTAGATGATTATATCAAAATGTGAATTAATCAGACATTTCTTGTTAGAATTGCTGTCTTTTTTTATACTACCACAGTCAGAAATGTCAATATATTTCAATATATATACATTAATGTGTTATTAATGTATATTATTCTGGAGGCTGTTTGTGTGCATGTCAGTACTGGCTGTCCTTACCATCCTGAGCTTGGGGGAGACCAGGTTGGCATTCTCCACAGCAGCATAGAAAGCCAGGATGCCATAGGGGCCCCAGCAGAACAGCATAGTCTTAAGAGGAGTGCTGGGGTTGAACTACAGAGGGAAAGGATAGAGAGAGAGACGAGGCAGAGCAGAAGGGATAAAGGTGGAAAGGAATGAAAAGTGGACAAAGCAGAGAGAAAGAGAGAGAGAGAGAGAGAGAGAGAGAGAGAGAGGATCAGAACAAGAATGATAAGCTACCGATCAACCATAAGGAGTGAATGAGGCAAAAATGCCTTGTGTCATGAGGACAAGTCACACGTCTGGGATCATGACCGGGAGAAAAACAGTGTCTTTGACAAGTGCAGTCATGCTCAGCAAGAAAAAAGAATCAGCTAGCAAATAAAGGGTGCAGGTTGCTGTAATCCAGGAGTCAAAGTAGACATTACTCTGAGTCAGAGAGAAAGTTAACATAGTTTCCCCACTGTCTTGCCTTTAAGGTACCTTTAAGGTTGTAAAATGTATTCATGTACTATATCACCCAGTCTTTACAGTATCGCATGTATTCCTGTATCACCGGTTGTGTCAACTGAGGTCTATATGTGTTATATCACTAACGTGAAATATTCAAACACACAACTTCATGTTTTAGATGGGCTGCGCTTACTTGAAATAGAAGGCGTTCTAAGATGTGCATCATCTTATAACACTTTCCCCTAAACATCAACCTGACATATTGGTTCTTTGGAAACTTCTTTACGATTAACATCCATTATCGCCATTACATAAAGTTCTGTGGGTTTAAACAGAATTTGGATGCACATTAGAGATAACTTCTCACCACTTTCATTAAGATAATTGTATACCTTTCAGTTTTTTATGACATACTTCACATACTGGGCTGTGTGTGAACACATTACATTACATAATTGCATTGTTCTGGAGGGGATCTTGTTGTCTTGACTCTGCAGCCTTTATGCTTGTAATGAAAGTGTCTCCAGCCAACTCAGATGACTGTGAGTAATAGGGTTATGCAACAGAAAGTGAGGCAACCTGATTCGGCCCCTGAGGAACTCCACTACTGAACGCACTATTCACAGATACATTGTTCTTTTCACAGCACACCAGCTTCTGTCCACATTCCCGATTGAAGCACTCAGTCTTTCCCCTGTGGCAATGACCTATATATGTCACAGCCTGTATGCTCCCAATTTACAGTCTGTTTGTTACTCTGAATGAAGGACCACGTGAGGGACTCACACTAGGAAGGGATGGAGTAGTTGTAAATATAAGGGGAATTCCTCTGATTCCTTCCAATGGGTGACTTTACATGTATTGCATATTTGTAAATATTTGTACATTAGGTGTTAAACTGCCTGTGTCTTGGATTTCAGAACCATTTATAGATTCTTCTGCATCCTGCGTGTGATTAAATATGTATCTGGAGCAACTGAAACTAAACTGAGCCAAAAAAGTAAAACTGCTTAAAGTGTGTAAATCTACATCACTTTATATTACTAATCCTATGTTGCTGGAGTTGGTGGATTGGGTTTTTTTTTTTTTTTTTTTTTTGCTCACCCTGGGGTTTCCAGTCTTCTTGAATTTCTGTGCAATGGACTGGTAAGAGGACATGACAACAAACACCTGGATGGCCATGTTAAAGATAGCCATGGGGATCAAGTAGGACACGTAGTTTCTGTGGGGAGAAAAATGCACGTAAGGCGTGGTATAAACTGCTACCATTGAGTGACAGACAACTATGTTTGGCTTGATAGGATTGTGAAGAGCGTATGCGTGCATTCAATACCTATCTCCCTTGCTGTAGTCCAGAGTGCAGCAGGTCCTGAGGGGCTCATAGTCGTACTCTCCCCATCCAATAAGGGGCATGGCAGACCAGAAGGCACAGAAGAGCCAGATAAACACAGCCAGAGTGATGGCGCTGCTCCACTGCAGCTTTGTCCCTGAAGAACAAGAAAACATTCATTACCCATAACAGTATGATTTTTATAAAATTGGGTAAAGGTCACGCTACCGCCGAAGCACTTTGTTTTAACCTGTTTATACAAGAGTAACTAGCTTTCTAATAAGCACAAAAAACCCAGCGAATACTGCAGATTAGGTGTTGACTCACTTCCTCTTCCCCTTGTATCCTTCTATAACAATGGCTAAAAATAGCAGTAGGGCTTATGTTATATCTCTGCTGAAATGCCATAAAAAGAAAATGGTTTCTACAAACATTCAGTCCCCCCCAGGTTACAGAGTTAACGCCATCTGCTTTTAACAACTGCTCTGCTAATTTTAACAAGATATAGTGGCAAGTTTACAGACAACAAGCCACTTGTTGACCAGCTGGCCGGAAAAGCAAAA